CTCATTAATATTTTTTCTCCTTTATTATCACTTTAGAATAATCTGTATATACTACCATATTCTGGCCTTCACTGACACTATCTTTTCTCTTAATTATCTAAGTGGGAATAATGCCTACTTTGTAGGCAAAGTGAAGTATATAATACTTCATTTTATGTATATATATATATATGCACACACATAAATATATTTTATTGATATATAAGAGACACTCTGTAATTGGTAGTTACTATAATTTTATAGTATAATAACTGTTAATGTTTTTGCCTATACATGTTTTCTTAGAGAACACTTGCTCATCTTTAAAGAATCAATATAAATGTCACTTCCTTCTTGAAGCCTTTCTTGCTATGCATGTAGACACGACTGCTCCCTTAGTTTTGTCACCCTTATATATTTATTACATCCATCCTGTCATTGCATCTGCCATATTTAACTTTATTTGTTTTTACCTTTTGTATACCTGGCTTCTAACCAAGAGTCTGGCATTTAGATATTTGCTAGATAAATGGGTTGAAATTAGGAGTTAATTTATTTGGCTTCTAATATTTATGTGTATTTAAACCATTCAACAAATATGTCAGTCATTTTGGTAGATACAGAGAAGAAAAAGTTAATGTAGTACATGCTCACAATCAAGTTTAAAGTTAATGATACAGTATAATCTACTTAATATAATGGTTTGTTCAAGGGGAGTGTGAATAGAAGTGGAGATACGTTAAAGGAAAGTAAAGTAGAAGGTATAGGTATGTATTCTAGATTGTGAATATTATTCCAGAAGTGTTTAGTGATCCCCTTCCATGGGGTACATTTATGCTTGGTGTTCTGAGCTCCTAAGCCAGAACCTGGCAATATCTGTGAAAACAATATTTTTCTCTGACACTGGTGGCACCGACTCATTTATGTTAATTGTACTGACACTTGAGCATGGATTTGGAGTTTTGAAGACTTTGTTAGGATCCCAACTGTCAGTTCTAGGGGCGTGATTTTAAGTAAGTTACTCAAGAGTATCATATCCACATCTGAAAAATGGAGATAATATCTTCCCCACACAGGTTGCAGGGAATAAGTTATGTATATAAAGTAGAATTGGTTTCTAGAATGTAGTAGATATTTCTTATTAGGTGAAATTATTTTAATTCATTTAACTTTATTTCTGCAGAACCAAACTGAGTGTTTGGCTCTGAATACAGGAAAACAAGGCAGAATTGAATAACAGTGATTGCTGACTTTGTTAGGTCTCATTCTGTTGTGGGTGATTACCTTTTTCCTCAGTGCAAAGTGCTGCTGTCAATCCAGAGAAAAGAAAAGAATGCTCAGCATATAATGCTAAAAAGATGTATCACACCATCTTGCATTTAACACAAGATGAGAAGGCACTGAGAGGAGGAGATTTGTCTGAGTTGTTGCATTGTGAGCCCAGCATCAAGCACAGGGCCTGACACACTCCGTATTATGTTTAAATGAACAAGTGAAGTCAGTGTGAATGAGAAAAAATGTTCTAGGTATGGAGTACATGATGTGCACTGGCACATTTAGAGTACCTAAGGTAGGTGTCTATGAGATACTGGCAAAAAAGAACAAGGTAGTTTAGCAGTTTTCTTTGAAACCACTATACCAGATTAATTATAGGTACAGAGCTTTTATAACCGATTATATATTTTAGAAGAAATATGGGCCAGCTAATTTGAGTTAAAATGATCACTTCTCCTGAATTAACCTAGATGGGAAAGAACTGAGAAATGAAATAAGACATTGGAACAGATAATAGAGGTCAGAATCTGCAACTATTCTAAATTATATTTGTAAAACTTCAGTCATTGTACTGTAAAGGAATTAAAATTTCATGTGGAGAAGTGGATCACTCTTGCCATAACTTCAACTCCTGTCTTTCCTTCTGCTGCTCCAACTTGGCAGAACACCAGACCCTAGAGCAATCTCATTATCTCCCTTCTCTGTTCCTGTTCCTTGCAGGCATGGACTTTTGAGTGCTGCCAAGATTGCTGTAGCACTTGCCCACAGCTGTGCTTCTCAGTCTTGCCTCCATCCTGTTCACTGTCACCAGAGTGATCTTTCCGTAATGAATTGGATTGTGTTAGGCCCCTCCTTGAAATCCCTAAGCGGCTTCCCGAAGTTTTTAGGGTAAAAAGTCCAAATTCCTTAGTATGGAAATCAGAGCTTTTAGAGATCTGGCCTCTTATCAGTCTCCTACCCAATCTCCTACCCCTTTTCCGTATGTTCTCTGTACTCCAGACATGTTAATGTGCTTGCACTTCTCTGAATGTTCCATGTTCTTTTCATGTCACTGAACATATGTTCAGTGTTCTTCCAGACATGCTTTTCTTTCTTCTCAAGGTTATGAACTACAGATCATTTTAAATGCTCCAACTTTACCTAACATGATACATTGTAGGAGTCTACATGTATACTCAGACTGTGAGCTTTTTTGAGTATAGCATACTCTATTATCTCTTTACTTCCTAATGCCTGTCATTGCCTTGCACAGTATAGAAGCCTTGAAGTTTGTGATTTAGTTAATGTGTGAAGTAATAGAATTTATCAGAGGCTTAAAATATGCCCAGCTATGTCCTGGGTATTATGAACATGTGAGAAATAGATGAACATAGTTATCCCTGTTCTGTTCATGATCTTAGTTGTGTGGAAAAATGACACATAAAGCAATTAGAGATTAATAAAGAATAACATTAAGTGAGGACTTAGAATGATTTGAAAATAAAGATGTAATCAAATTTCAAATTCTTGATATTTCATATTTGCTCTTTACTCTGTTTTTCTCCTTAATATTTACCACTACTAGCAGTCCTATACATTTTACTTATTTATCTTGTTATGTTCATAGCCCCTGCTAGAATATAAGTTTCATGAGGAGTTTTGACTGTTTGTTCACTATGGTTATTTCCAGTACCTGGCACATGGTGGGCGCTTGGTAGGTATTTATTGAATGAATGGAATGGAGTTTGGAGAAGGAAGTGAGCACTGGGAGATAGTATTTATGCAAGATTTCATGGAGAAGTTACATTGAGGTAGACCTTGATAGAGTATTTTATTAGATGAGTTAATGCTAATGAAATATATTCATTTAAGTAAATAATTACCAGTTTTATTTTTATATGAATTTTTTCAGGGCATATGTTACCCCTAATTTTTGTCCTTTTGCTGTCTAAAGTTTGTATAGCCCACACTATTGACTCCACTTAGAGAGTTTAACAACAAAACCTATTTAAGCAAGGTGAGTGGTGCTGACTATATACCAGTTGCAGTAAACTCATTCACTTTGTGGTTTTTATCAAAATGAAATATGTGTAAAAAATAGGTCTGCTGGAGGCAACTATACATTGTATACAGATCTTCTTTACACTGTACATTGTTTAGGTACCTGAGAGCTGATCTTTTACTTTGCATCTATCAAAATAATTGCAAATAAATTTGAACTCATAGGCATAGCAGGGTTATGGTTGTTTTGTGAATTAGGAATCATAATTGATCAGTATGCCTGTAAGTTCTTAGATTTTAGCAATTCTTTGTCAGCATTTTAAGTATTTGTGTGTATATATATATATATATATATTCATATGTCATATATAATTTATATTAATAATTGTTTCCCACTTTAATAGTTTCTTCTCTTTTGCTTTCTTCCCTTAAGAAATTAAAATTAGATTTTGAATTAAAACTATTAAAAATGTTAAATTGCCAAACATTTTTTGGCTATAGCTGTAACATGTAGATAATATAGATTTGAATTATTTTTTAGAAAATAAAATTATCTTTGAGTCTCAAGTACTGGTTTCTCCTCTTCTGATTTATTTTTTCTAAGCACAGAATTAGATATTCTTACACACTTACAGCAGCGATAGACCTTAGTAAACATCTGGTCTACTTGTTTTGTTTTAGAGATGAGGTAACTAAAACACAAGGAAAAGTGATTTGTCCTCAGTTGACTGATGATAATTAATGATAGGACCAGAATGCTATCAATAGTTAAAAATCTAGTATAATCAAACTTTGACTAACCCCTCTCATATGCTAACCATGTTAAACTTTAAGGCCATGTTGTTTCTAGTAATACATGTGGCTCTGATGACATTTTAAAAGGATGTTATTTTAATGACCTAGTAAAATAGAAGTAAATTCCTGGAATTTGCAGTCTATCAGTCAACCAGATTGGGTATGAGTGAAGCTTTGGCAGTACTTATCCATTTTGATATTAATATAGGTTGTTTACTAGTTATGTCAACAGGAAGTAATTTTCATGAGTCTGATTTTAAGCCATTGAAAAACCCAACATGTTCTCTAATGTGTTAATTTTTGACACCTATGAGGATTCACATATTTCATAGGAAGAAGTTTGACCAATAAATGTGTATTGAGGAAAACAATGAAGAGCAAGATTTAAAAAAAATCAGTGTTTTTCTTTTTTTGTTGTTGTTGAACCTACAAAGTTATGTTTTTTTTAAAAAGTCATATGAGTAGACTCTTGGATTAACTTAAATAGAAAAATGAAAAAAAGGATCATGTGAATACCTTTCCTTTGCTTTTTTTGGTGATACTTTCCTAGGATTTATATTTTAGTTAAACTGGATTATACAAAAATAGCACCTTATATTTTGTGCTTTTTAGTTTTTTTAAAATCAGGGGGGGTCATCTTTTTTTTGAAGGGGGAAATGATTAATAAATACAACAGGTTGGATAAGAAATGGTTAAAGATATAGAAGATTTTAGGCAACCTGAAGTTAGTACTAATATAACTCCTGGTTGTAGTCACTGAGTACTAATTAGATTGGGTTATTTATTTTTAGTCAGTTGTGTTCATGTATTGTACTTTTGATGTGAAGAACACTCTGCTAGACATTTGAAAGCCTCTTAGTTTGACTTAGTCTGATGTTTAATTGTGTTGGTTTTTTTTTAAAGTTATATTCTCTAACTATAGCCTGTGTTTTGGGATAGCAAGTTAGTAATTGTCCTTTGTTCTATTTCAGATCCCTGCATGTCACTGAGTCCACCATGCTTTACAGAAGAAGATAGATTTAGTCTGGAAGCTCTTCAAACAATACATAAACAAATGGATGATGACAAAGATGGTGGAATTGAAGTAGATGAAAGTGATGAAGTAGGTGGAAAAACATTTTCCTTTGTATTCTCTTACAACAGAATGACTGTATTTCTAGTGTTAAATTTTGTCTTTATTACTCTTATGGCTCACCTCCTTCATTTTCAGCATCTTCAATTTTTATTTTTACATGTTAATTTTAGCCACTACATTTACAGAGTTTTTGTGGGTCCATCACCCGATTTGTATGTACATGTTCCCAGTTTTATAAAATTTTTGTTCTCGCCTTCTTGGATTTCTCAAATATATATCCTATTTTGACTATACCTATCTCTGCTTTATAAATCACCCCAAAATGTGGTGGCTTAAAATGACAACAGTTTATTATTTCCCCTGATTCTGTGGGTTGATGGGCCCTGCTGGGCAGTTTTTCTATTTCCTTAGGTATGGGCTGAGGTCACTGTGGCAGCTGCATTCATTTGGGAGCCTCTGCTGGGGCTGGGGTATCTAACATGGCCTCTTTTTCTTCCTGTTGTCTCTCTGACCTCACATCATTTGGAAGTGTAGCTCAAGCTTCATTACAGCGTGGCAGCTGGTCTCCAAGTTGTAGTGTTCCAAGAAGGCAAGTTCCAGTGTGCAAGTGCTTATCATGCCTCTGCTTGCCAGTGTTCACTCATATATTGGCCAAAGCAAGTCATTTGGCTAAGCTCAGAGTCTATGTGGGAGAGATACCAGGATGTAGATAATCAGGAGATGTGGTTCATTGAAGGCCACCAATTTAGTAATTTACTATACTGATTGTCTTTAGTTTTTAAGCATTCTCGTCTTCCCACTTGTCTGGTTTCCCTCTTAGTTTCTCCATCAAAGTTGTTTTCTTGATTTGACTTTAGTCTCATTCTAGCTAAAACCCCTGGTCATTTTTCAGACCTCTTCAACCTCTTTGTTGGATTTGTCACTATTGTAATTCTTTTCTTTTAGTTTATATAATACTTAATTACATTGTTTTCTACAGTACTATCTAATGTTATATAACAATGGCATTCTCTAATGACATTGTTACCTAATAGTGACATTCTGTAAAGATCAGTTCTTGACCTACTGCACAAAACGTTTCCTTTGAGAGTGCTCATCCATTTTCAAATTATTCCTGATTCCTGTGTCTCTAAGCCAATCCAGATGCCTGACTTACATGTATTGCTTTCTGCCTGATGTTTTTAGAGGGTTCTTACTTTTACTTTAAAATTAGTTTGTTTAAAACAAAATCTCAGTTCTCTTATTTTAAATCTCTCCCTGTTCAATGACACTTCTGGGTCTACTCTTACTCAATTCTTATTCTTGTAAAGTTGGAGTTGGCAGACTTTTAATGTAAAGGGTCAAGTTATAGGTTGAGATGTGTCCTTCAAAAACATTTGTTGAAGTCCTAACCCTCAGTACTTCAGAATGTGACCTAATTGGGAAATAGGGTCATTGCAGATGTAATATTAGATTGGTGCAAAAGTAATTATAGTTTTGGACTGTGAATTTTAAATCACTATAACTAGGGTCAAACACATCTTTATTAATCAAAATAGGAACTCTTACAATCAACATGTTTTTGCTAATGAGAAATAAGTTTGTTTATTCCTGTAGTGTAAAAATCTGTGCTTCGGAATTTGACAAACTCTTGGAAAGCATTTTCTGCATCCCTCTGCTGGTTGTGGAAGCGTTTTCCCTGTAAAAAGTTGTTGAGATGCTTGAAGAAGTGGTAGTCGGTTGGCAGGAGGTCAGGTGAACATGGCAGATGAGGTAAAACTTTGTAACCTACTTTGTTTGACTTCTGAAGCATCGGTTGTGCAATGTGTGGGAAGGTGTTGTTGTGGAGAATTGAGCCCTTTCTGTTGACCAGTGCTAACTGCAGGTGTTGCGGTTTTTGGTGCATCTCGTCGATTTGCTGAGCATACTTCTCAGATGTAATGGTTTCACTGGGATTCAGAAAGCTGTAGTGGATCAGACTGGTAGCAGACCACCAAACAGTGACTGTGACCTTTTTTTGGTGCAAGTTTGGCTTTGAGAACTGCTTTGGAGCTTCTTCCTGGTCCCAGCACTGAGCTGGTTGCCAAGTTATACTTTAAAAGTTTCTCTGTATGTCCTATAGGAAGTCATGGATATACAATTATTATAAAAGAGAGTTGTTCGTATTTTTCTGGGGGGAGGATCCTTTGCTTTCTGTTAAGTTGTACCTAGATAGTTAAGAACCATTGTGTAAGTTATTGAGGCAGATTTTAAGAAAATATCTCATTATTTTATAGTTATACCTAGAATATTTCTTAAATTGTAAAATTTCTACCCTGCCTCAGCATTTATTTAGTTGAGTACGCAGGCTCTTTGTGCCTTGCCTTGACCTGTAGTCAAGGCAAGTAGTACCTGTTTACTGGACTTCTTCCTCAATTTCTTGCTTTTCCAGTTCATTTACCAACTGCTATTGAATTATCCTCTTTGTTTATGACATTTAATAAGAACTGATTCTCCTAGAGTATTTTTAGTCGGATATTTGCCTGTTCCTCAGAGCAACCATCATAGAAACCAGAAAACTTTCTCTTATCCTACCATTTCTTACCATCCAGACGATCTCACCTTTACCTCCAAATTCTGATTTATTACAGTGGTTCCCTCTTTTTGAGGCAGTGTTATTCATAGGCTGTTTGAGAAGCACCATTGGTAGTGTATTGTTCAGTTATATGTGGATTAATTAGGCTTTTGCGGTGAACTAAACTACCTTAATGTAGTTTCTTTAGAAAGATGTGCTTCAGATGATAAATACACACTGTTAAATACAATCTAGTTATAAATTGTGGATGAATGCCCTATATATAAGATCTGTCTGTGAAGAGCCAAAAACTTCTGAAATTATTTTATGGCATCCTGGAGCGTTGAAACATTCCACCCAAACCCCTGCTTCAGGTAATGAATGTTTTAGTCCCTTTCCCAAACTTTTTCAGCTTTCCTTAATCAGACCACATGGTAATTATATATTTTCATTAAAAAATCATTTCTCATTCCTTTTTTATTAATTTTTAATTTACCTCAACAAGAATGTCATGTCAAATGTTGTTACAGACTGGAAGGGGGCAGGTGTAGGAGTGTGAATGGGGACTGTGTGTGCTTCTCAGCGTCAGTTCTCGCCTGAGGGTACTGCCAGTCCTGCTCTCTCCTCCCCCTCCTTCCCTGAGCATTTGCAGGAGCACAGAATGGCATTGCATTGATGTAATATATATATATATATATAGTTTTTTTTTTCCCTGAGAGTTTAGCACACTTCACATATTGTCTTCTAAAAGATGTTTGAGTTCGTGTAAGTATAGAACCTATTAATTCCTGTTTCACAAATGGATTAATTAAAATTTTGCCTCTACTGTAACATTAACACTGTTAGCCTTACATTATTGTTATTATAGATAGGCTGACCATATAATTTATCATCCAAACTAGGATATTTTTGAGAGTGAAAGAGAGTGCTATTAATAATTACACCAGAACCACAGGTATAAACAAGGACTGTCCCAGGCAAATGGGCCGTATAATTACCCTAACCATATGGCTTATCACAGTGTGCTTTCTATTGTACTTACCTTTATCTTTGTCTTGATCCCTCACTAAGTTGTTATTAAATTGATCTAAGTTTTATGCCAAGATTTGTGTTATTAGTAAAGCTTGCCTCTATATCAGTTTAGTTCATCATGTGAAATCTTTTCATATTGTACAGCTTGTTTTGTAATAACATGGCAGAAACACTCAGGAATTTTTCTATTCCTTTTTCTTTCTTACAGTTAAGAGATTATTTTTTGTCTTTTTATTCTCTAAAATAATATAGCTTAAAATATTTTTATATTAAAATATTCATTGACCCTTTCATTGATTTTTTTTTTATAATTTATATTTTTAGTAGTATATATCTTGGCTTTCCCACATTTGCTCTCTTTTTAAAACAAATTTTCCCCAGCTTTATTGAGATATAATAATTGACAAATAAAAATTGTATATATTTAAGGTGTACAATGTGATGATTTGATATATATACATTGTGAAGTGATTATTACAGCCCAGTACCTATCACCTTACATGTCAAAGGGTATAAAGTTTCAGTTATGAGGTAAGTTCTGGGGATCTAATGTACAAGCTGGTCACTATAGTTAATAATACTATATTATATATTTGAAATTTGCAAAGAGAGTAGATCTTAAGTATCTTTTCCACAAAAAAATGGTAACCAAATTTTTATATCTGAAGAATTTAATGAAAAGTCTGAATTTTCCTGTGGACCCATCCAGTGTTTGGCCTGCTGGAATTTTTTCAAGTACTTAGTTCTGCAGTCGCTGACTGCATAGTTTCAGAAGACTGTTTTGCGCTAGAAAGCTGTTTGGGTGGTCATAAGGTCAAGTGCTGTGCTATGTCAGGGAGGTGTAAGGTAAAATTGTCCTTATCCATAGATAACCTAAACTAACCTATGTGATTATAATGTCATGGTTTATAAGGTATTTATGCTGTCTCTCGTTATCTTTAGCAGTACTTTTGTTGAGAGGGGCAGGACAGGTGGTATCCCTATCTTACAGATGAGAGACTTAGAGAGATCACGTTACTTAGGTCTCATAACGTGTGTAAGCAGAACTGGGATTAGGGCCCACCTATCCCTACTTGTGTTCACTCTCCATGACGTGTTTAGACATAGTTCCAAGTTGTTATTGCTTTTGTTTATTTTAAAATCATATTCAGTTTTGAGTCCTGGGAGCTAAAAGAGCCACTCTGCATACATTCTTGAACTGTGTTTCTGTTAATGTTGGATGTTCTGGTAATGTTGGAACCTTCTGGGTGTTGATGACTGCTCACTAGGACCCTCCCTAGGGCAGGGAACAACTACCCTCCTTGTTCCCTGTATTTTGGTTTGAATCTTACTGTACTGACTTATGTCTTTAGTGTTACCTTGAGCTTTCCTGGAGAATTCACCTTACTTCTTTCCCTACTTAGTATTAGATATTCTATTCTGGCCTTTCTGGGTCTGACCTGGCTTGATAGTGCTTGTGACT